CCCCCCCCCCCCCCCCCCCCCCCCTTCTTTTGTTCTCCTGTTAATAAGATGTGTTTGCTGTTTGGAAGCACAGCCACCCTGTTGTTTATTCCTACCAGAGGAGCGACATCTATTCTGTACATGTCAGAAATGGCAGAATCACGACACAGTTGCATGATGAAGCCTAAACCACTTCAGCCTTACCATTGGGCGTCTCCAATGATGAGTGTATCCACAACACATTGAGTGGACATTAGGGATTGATATCACGTACACAGCATCGCCTTTAGCTTCACCGTAACTATAACGAAGGCAGTCCACTCATTTGCATACGGGGTTAAGCGAGATTTGCCCGACAAGGCACCATATGTCTACCGCCGATGTTGGCAGTCATCTTTTCCATACGTCGTTACGACCGTCCGTCTAATCTAATGGGGTCCATTCATAGATACACGGGGTCCATCTGTCTTCTATGATTGTCATATCGCTTGTCACGATATTCTGTCAGTCTGTGTGTCTCAAGTGGCGGGGTCGCTTGTGTATTTTACAATAAATGTGGCTTCCGTTCTCTGGTTTGAAGGTCATGTTTGCCCAGCTTTCGTCTCGTCAAGATAAAGACTATGCATACGTTGCCATGACGATATGAGCGTATTATTATTTGTTGGGAGAAAAAGCCACAGACTGGATTTGGTGAAACTAAGGGATTTTCGTCGCATGGTAATCGGAGATGATGTAGAGAGGGAACCGGTCTTGGATGGACTAGGAGCATTTAGACACCGGTTGATTAACTGTCTAGATGTTCCTTACGATTATGCCTCACTTAACCCCATATAACACAGTCAATATCTGTATGTCGGAAGGGAGGCCTGTGTGTTTATATATATATACTGGCTTATCAACATTTCCAGTTGTTTTTACCTAGTGATGGGCATCAGATTCCATTAGCCGATCGTGATTCATCGACAAATAGGAACACAACAGACGTCAGCACAATGGTTCCCTATATAGTTCACGTCGACTTTTGAGGCAATTCAATTTGTATCGTAAATAAACTAGCACCTGCTCCGTTGGAGTCAAGGACAGGTTATTTCACGATCAGAACAATGTGCAAAACCGAAAAAATGAAGGGGTAGTTTTTGCTAGCAGCGTAGGACACAGCCGTGCGCCTGGTCGCCACAGGCGACCAAAACCTATTATTCTCAAAATCGTAGTTTACTCCCATAAATTAACCACCCCAACTTCGGAACACCCATTTTCGGAAATCCTGTAGTCTGGGTCACGCCGTTAAAACGTTCAAGTGCATCAGAATTGACACAGATAGTCAACATGGCGGATACAAACAAGGGCTGGGGATTTAAGTAAGTTAACTAATGTATTTTTATAAGTCGAAAGTTTTCTTCGCTGTAAGCTACTATTTTATGTTGTTTGGTCTGCCGTATCACCAGAAGTGGTTGCCGACCAATTCTCGCCGAAGCGCGTGTATTGTGCAAAGTCTCGCGAATTATCGTGTTTTATTCACACACAATCTAAAGAAGCTGTATTTATAACCGTACAGGCAAAATTTTAAGACTTAGCTGTAAGTTACTATTTCGCCCCAAAATCGCCAGCTGATCACGTGACTATTTTTATCTAAATATAACAAAGTCGTCTGCAGTTGTAAATTCCTACCAGGTGAATTCAGTGACAATAAAGACTTTGGGAATGAGGGGAGGGTTTTTAGGGTTATGTGTCGGGAGGGTTTGATTGAAGAATAAAGAACATCTATTTATATTGCTTTATTGGCATTTTTTATTGCTCAACACTGAAAAAAATCATAGGAAAATAATTGGGGTACCAATATTAATTTTGGGTCTGTGAAATAATTTTTGCACTCGCCCAATTTTTTTTTCGGGGCAACCGACTGTCCTACACTTTGATAGGGCTTAGGTTTTCAGGATTGAAAACAATTATTTCAAATGAGTATCGTTTTTAAGCGAGTTACATAAAATGAGAACGACTTTTAAGTCCTTTTATTACATGTATCATTACGTTTGCTTTTTCAGGAAATTTATGACGTCATGGCATTGTTACTTTCGACGTCACAATGGTTGAAAATATAAAGCTCGTCAAGTTCAGAAATATATTTCAAACGTTTTAAAACTACAATAGATGGTAGAAGCGCTTGTAATGTCTGTTTCCGGTACACATGTACTCGGACAAAATCCCCGGAGCACTCTTCAGGTAAACGTTTAGAATACGTTGCTCTCAGAACGTACTTGACCTGGAGTTGGCCCGTCATTCATCTGTGGCCGGATATGTCCGACATTCTAATCAATACTACAATGGGTTATATAATACACCAGCTGTCCTGTCAGAACCACCCAAATCGGATACCATTTGTTGATGAAGAAAAGTAATGAGTTTGGTGTGTTTCGTAAACTTAAGAAGCGACATTTCGACGGTTTGCATTGTAGTTCTATAATAAAACGCTCGTATCAAAGTAACAAGATGCTTCACAATGATCTGCGCCCGTACATTACAATATTGTTCTTTTTTTGCAGTAGAGCTTTGTTCATATATTACAATTTCGTCCCTATTTTGTAGCAGACTTATAGACGTAAATTACAACCTCGTCCCTATTTTGTAGCAAATATGCATGTGTACGTTTCAATCTCGTCCTGATTTTAAAACTTGCACGTGTACATTTCAATCTCGTCCCTATTTTATAACAAACCTGTATGTGTACGTTACTATCTCGTCCCAATTTTGCATAGACCTACCATCTCGTCTCTATTATTTAGAAGACTTGAGCTCTGATATAAAAGGGATTTGGTTAAAATTTTAAGATAAAGCTGAAGAGATTTCGAAATATAAACGACTTGCACCTAATAAAGTACTCATTGGTAACACGCATGTCTCTACCATACTGTGTTATGTTTTGTGTTAACAGGAGACCGGAGAGACAGACCTATACTCTGTTATGTTTTGTGTTAACAGTAGACCGGAGAGACGGAACTATATTGGGTTATGTTTTGTGTTTACAGTAGACCGGAGAGACAGACCTATCCTGTGTTATGTTTTGTGTTTACACTAGACCGAAGAGACAGACATATACTGTGTTATATTTTGTGTTTACAGTAGACCGGGGAGACGGAACTATATTGGGTTATATTTTGTGTTTACAGTAGACCGGAGAGATAGACCTATACTCTGTTATGTTTTGTGTTAACAGTAGACCGGAGAGACAGACACAATGTGTTATGTTTTGTGTTTACAGTAGCCCGGAGAGACAGACCTATACTGTGTTATTTTTTGTGTTTACAGTAGACCGGAGAGATAGACCTATACTCTGTTATGTTTTGTGTTAACAGTAGACCGGAGAGACGGACCTATACTGTGTTATGTTTTGTGTTAACAGGAGACCGGAGAGACAGACCTATACTCTGTTATGTTTTGTGTTAACAGTAGACCGGAGAGACGGAACTATATTGGGTTATGTTTTGTGTTTACAGTAGACCTGAGAGACAGACATAATGTGTTATGTTTTTTGTTTACAGTAGACCGGAGAGACAGACCTCTACTCTGTTATGTTTTGTGTTTACAGTAGACCAGAGAGACAGACCTATACTGTGTTATGTTTTGGGTGTACAGTAGACCGGAGAGACAGACATAATGTGTTATGTTTTGTGTTAACAGTAGACCGGAGAGACGGAACTATATTGGGTTATGTTTTGTGTTTACAGTAGACCTGAGAGACAGACATAATGTGTTATGTTTTTTGTTTACAGTAGACCGGAGAGACAGACATAATGTGTTATGCTTTGTGTTTACAGTAGACCGGAGAGACGGACATATACTGTGTTATGTTTTGTGGTTACAGTAGACCGGAGAGCCAGACCTATACTCTGTTATGTTTTGTGTTAACAGTAGACCGGAGAGACAGACATAATGTGTTATGTTTTTTGTTTACAGTAGACCGGAGAGACAGACAAAATGTGTTATGTTTTGTGTTTACAGTAGCCCGGAGAGACAGACCTATACTGTGTTATGTTTTGTGTTTACAGTAGACCGGAGAGACGGACATATACTGTGTTATGTTTTGTGTTAACAGTAGACCGGAGAGACAGACCTATACTGTGTTATGTTTTGTGTTTACACTAGACCGAAGAGACAGACATATACTGTGTTATATTTTGTGTTTACAGTAGACCGGAGAGACAGACCTATACTGTGTTATGTTTTGTGTTTACAGTAGACCGGAGAGACGGAACTATATTGGGTTATGTTTTGTGTTTACAGTAGACCGGAGAGACAGGCCTATACTGTGTTATGTTTTGTGTTAACAGTAGACCGGAGAGACAGACATACTGTGTTATGTTTTGTGTTTACAGTAGAGCGGAGAGACGGACATATACTGTGTTATGTTTTGTGTTAACAGTAGACCGGAGAGACAGACGTAATGTGTTATGTTTTGTGTTTACAGTAGACCGGAGAGACAGACCTATTCTGTGTTATGTTTTGTGTTTACAGTAGACCGAGGAGACGGAACTATATTGGGTTATATTTTGTGCTTACAGTAGACCGGGGAGACGGAACTATATTGGGTTATGTTTTGTGTTTACAGAATACCGGAGAGATGGACCTATACTGTGCTTTGATTGTCTATCATTTTCTAACATCGACAACTACTGTGGCGACCCCTTTAATGAAACCACCAAGGGAGTTAAGACGACATTATGCAACGGCTACTGTGTCAAGTGGGTTCGTAACGTCCGCCCTGGTAAGAAGTCATCAAAATTAAGTATATATTATCAACTTAATAATATATCGTAAATAATTGAAAGTATCAGTATCAGTTGACTATATTGTTAATATCTACATGTTGCGTATCATATCAACGGCTTGCGTGTCATATTTACAGGGTGCGTATCCTATTAACGGCTTGCCTGTCATATTTACGGGGTGCGTGTGATATTTACAGGGTGCATGTCATATTTACGGGCTGCGTGTCATATTTACGGGCTGTATCTTATATTTACAGGTGTGGTGCGGTACCAGCGAACCTGTTCTAACAACCTGACAATCACCATGAACATTAACGCCGTGTGCATAGCTGAGTCCAGACCCCGGACAGGCAACATTTGTTTCTGTGAAAAGGCGAAATGCAATGCCGGCACGTCCTTAAAACCAGAAACGCACGTGCGTTCCCTTATGACGTTTCTCATCCTTATTATACTGCTCACTTGCTTTCGATAGAAGAGAGTTACCTCTATATATAGATAATTCATTTCACATGCAGATTGGCACTATCCATGGCCTTCGTGTATAAAGATTGTCTGCTAAAATATTGAATTCCTAGGCGTTACGTATATGTGTGCCAGGGATCACGTGATAAAATGGAGGAATCTTCCTATTACAATACACGTGTTCAATGTAATTCATCTCACGTGATTGCCCGTGCTCAGGAAGTTTGCCTGATCGCTTCGCCAGGTAACTAACGTCCAGTAAAATGGTTTAACCTGGCATCTCACGAATGTCTTTGAGGATCGAGAGCGATATGGAATTTTCTAATAGAGTTGTCCTGGTTATTGACACTGTTTGAACAACTCCGACTCCTCAACTATTCTGAGATGAATATATCTCGACATTCTTCTTTCATTAGAATTTGTTGAACATAATAATTATCCGCCCTTCAGGATACAGTAAGGTGCACACACGATGCAGACGAATTGAATGTGACATAAACGGATTGGCCGTGACCGGAAATGTCGTAACCCATGTATCACAACCGGATATGACGCAATAGGCTGAGTCATATCGGATACAATGTAACCAGGTCGTGTAAACGCAACCAGGTGTGAGGTTAGGGGCTTTGAAATCAGATGTCATGTAAGCGGATGTGTCTCTTGGATATAACGTGACCATTTGATGGTTATGTGACCGGTTATGACGTCATGACGTAAACTGTTGGGTTGAATCCGGATTGGACGGAACAAAAGATTACACAGATTCTCCAGCGTCATATTTTACTATAATAGGCAAAATAATAATAGTTCACATTTTAGAAAATCCAATTTATTCACCTTCACGTTTTTTTCTGATTCTTTATATAACTTCCGGTAGCGACGATGATAGCAGGTAGATTAACAAAATCGTCTTCAGAACTTTTGCACAGAATAGTCACTTAATATGTACTTTTGAAGAATTAATCTCACCTTTTAATCAGATGACTCCACATTTCAGATTTGTATTTAAAAACAGAGTCAGTTCTACAAATATAATTCGATGGTTGATATTCATCCTTTCTCTCGTCTTTCTGTCATTTTTAGCCAATTGATTGATCCTTCGGGATCGGTAGAGCAAATGGATTGGTCTTCGTTTAAACATTTGACTCTCGTCATAAGAGTGTCAATGGCGCAAGTGATCGTTAGGTGTGCGAATGTTGTGTGTGTGTGTGAGTTCGGACAATGTTATACTATTATTTATTACACTAATATCTAACTTTGGCACCAGTTTTACGAATATAAAAGACGCCATTTTGATGATATTTGTACACATGTTACCATCCATTTTACTATGTATCATGTGTGGTGATCGACACTGGGATGTTTGTTTCATTTTCATTCGTAACTATACAGCTTGTATCAGCGCCTTAGAATAATTCCATTTACTATATTGGGCGTTGTGTTGTATATAATTATTGTGTATTATAGATTGGTTGTTGATTTTTTCTAAACGTCATTTGAAGTGTGCAAATGTTGAGGCAAAATAAGCGATATTTGTATATATACACAAAAAAAAAAATACTCATTCACCCCTGACAACACATTTGAACTCTTCCAATTCAAAGTTTGGAATAGTTCATTATGAAGTTTCAGGGGTGAATGAGTTAAACGGCATGTGATGAAACCATTATATGTCCATTTCATGATGATGTCTTCATCAACTCCTTAGGTATGCCAATAGCTGGACGTTTAATATAAATAAAACTTAAACCTCACGAAAACATTCCAATGCGCTCGCTATATATCGTGTTATACTGACTTTATATACGACAAGGGCAATATCACTAGGTAATTTTGATTTCTCCTGCGTTTTCCAGCTTAGAGAGTTCGTCAGTATTGGACTTTTAGCTTAGAGATGTCGTCATAACGGGGGTTAAAGCGAAGCCTGCTATGTTCGTTTCTGATAAACGAATTTCAAATTTAATTAAGGACCACTGTCCAACTGCAAACTAAACGATAGACAATTCCCCTGATTTGATTTTTCTTACTTAGGGTAACTTTCTGATTTGGATATAAGTGGGATCAAGAAGCGCAGTTGGTTAGACGGACTGTATTGTAATCAGAGGTTCAGGGGTCGAATCCCGGCCTGACTTTTTTTGCAAACTCGAACTCTGTTGATGATATTTTTCCATCTTTTAAAAAAAATAAAGTTTCGCAAGTCATGTATTCTTTTCAGAAATGACTTCTCAAAGCTATAGTCATTCCAAAAAACAGTCCATTTCCATAGCTGCAGGTCTTTGCAGTGGTACAGTAGAGTTCGTCCTAATGGGACGTCAGTTTTAGAGGGTTCGCCATAACGAGATTTCATCATAATGGGACATACACAGTCTTGCTTCTGGGCAAACCCAATCCATTGCAATTATCCCAACGAATCGACTGTATGACTTGTTTCGAAATATGTTTTTTTTAACAACGGTTTTTCTTTAATCTGTCATTCTGGTTTCTGATTAACGAATATAATTATTTGGTGTGACTATATTAAGCGTCCAGCTAACAGCTTTTGTCAGAATTAGCATCGTGTGGTTCATTGAGTGGCCGCTGTTTTAATTTAGACAAGGGGCTAAAATACAACACCAGAGCTGTCCTACGGCTACAGACAATATTAGTATTCGTCCCCAGAACCTTACATTTATCGAGATGTTATGGGGACACCATTCAACATTGTCTACAGTCTTTAAGGCCGCTTGGGCATTTCATAAAGAATATATGATTTACTACTCAAGTTGTCAAACATAGTTTACGCAAAAACATAAATGGCGATCTTCCATTTCTTTTTTCCTCCTTTTCTTCTATGTTGATTATGGTATATAAGATAATCTGACCCTTGCCATGGTGATTGGAGATCAGTAGGAAGGGTCTGTTGTCGTTAATCCTCCATTGAGAACCGTCATGGCGAGTATTCCTTTCTTGTACGTATTAGAGATCTTAGTCCATGATACAGCAGAACCTGTTCAGTCAGGTTTACCTGTTAACATTGTGAATATACCCTCTTTGTCCGGATGCTGTCGTTTTGTTTTGTGAACACAATTGTTTATGTACAGAACGTTCCGTCTCTTATGTTTGCTTGTCTTCATAGTGGGACTTCGTTCGTCAAATCACTTTTTTAGTCGCAGTGGTCAAGTGGTGCAGTGGATAAGCACTCGCCTTTCATCAAGTCGGCCTGGATTCGATTTCCCAGTCGGAAACAGGTATGGGGACAGCTGCCCGACCACGTGGGGTTTTCCTCGGCTACTCCGGTGCTCTCCCACATGAAGCCCCCGACCCCTTCCTTTGTGAATGACCCCAAGAAGCAATGCTATGTACAATCAAGGAATACACGCTAAACTGGCAACGGAATTGTTTTATTTTTTTTTGTTAGTCTTCACAATAAATATATTTCTTCTAATTGTGATATTTTATGAATTTCATTATGAATGTGAGAATACATTACGTGTCGGTAATTGGTAGGTCTCAGGATTGTAACCCGTGGTTTGTTAGATACGGAGCGCTAGTAATGCTCTACAGCTTACCGGTCTAACTGTTTCATTGAAATTAATATTTTAAATGTTAAACCATAAAAATGAATAAGGAACTCCATGTATATAAAATAGACTGCCAAATGATAAGAATTAAAAAAAATAAGTTGTTTTTTATAGATTAAAGCTATCTTGTAAGTTGTTTAAACACACAGTGTACATACATTTTCGGGTTTGGGAGGAATTTAAGATTTGTTTTAGGAATAATTTTAATGGTACTTGTTTGATATTTTTATGTGAAAGATACAATTAATTGAAATTTGCTCACTTCCGGTTTTAACAGGAAGCGCGCATCGGTGATGTTGGCCTCGTTATCGGTTAATACTCGGAACCACTTGATTTATTGTCGCTAACACATCTCAATTATATGCAATCTCTGTTCCTATATTTGCGTGTCATTTGCACCTAAATTAATTGTTTGTAAGGCATTTTCATTAAAATCAAAATAATGGACAAGTCTCTTTCTTCTTGTTATTCATATCATGGAAAATCGAATTAATGCAAATTTGTTGTTAATATTAGGACGGTCTTTTGTTTATCATGTTTTTGTTTTAGATTGCAAACGAAAAATCGAGTTTTATAACTAATGCTCCCTCGTTGTGCTCAGCTTTCTGAGAAGAGATACACAGACAAATCTTATCACATGCAAATCTTAATGGAAACACGGGTCAATCTCTAGAAATCTAGAAAATACGAGATAATTTATCATTGGGATTTTTTTTAGAGAAATACAGGCAAATAATAAGATAAACACAGGAAAATATATAGTGTAATTAATGCAAATATACAGGAAAACACAGGCAAATATCTAACAAAACACACGCAATCTCGAGAAAAAGACATTTCTAAGAAAACACAGGCAAATGTCTAGAAAAGCATATGTAACTCTCTTGTGAAACACAGGATAATCTCTTGGAGTCCCAAGGAGAATCTCTAGAAACACGAGCAAATCTCTTGTGAAACACAGGAAAATATGTAGGAAAAGACGGGCAAATCTCCAGGAAAACACAAGCAACCATTTAGGGAAACACAGGCAATTCTCAAGGGAAATATAATTATCTGTTGAAAAACTCAGACAAATGTAATACATTTTTATAAAAACATAATTCTGGACTTGTCGCTTCTAGAGAAGCACAAAGAATTTACAAGAGAACAGAATTGAGAACCCCCCTCGAGGGATTATCTAGTACAAAGCGAGACAACTCCTGCGTTGACCAACTGATCGTTAAGAATCGAGGGACAGTTAGCATATCAACTTTAAAGACTCTCTTACACTGAGCGGAATATGAGATAAACCAGTCAACGTCTTTGGTAGCCATTTTTTTTACAAAACTGAGGTCAACGTTGCAGTGACATTTTGGAGAAAAAAGATAGCTGTGTAAATATTTCAACTAATTTTGATGTAATGATTCCTTTATATATTACTATCAATATAAAACAAAACAGAAACTTTAAGTTTAAGAACGACACATGCTAGTCCGCTTATACTGACGATAATCGCAGGCTTAAAAACTCTGGCCGGTCGTCTGTTTATGGACCATAAACAGGCGACCGATCAGAATCTTGAAGCCTCCGATTATGATCAGTTGTAGCGGACTTGCAACATCATATGATTAATAATCTTCGATGTGAATTCTCTCTTGACATTTTGCAAAAGAAGGATATGACAAAAGAACCTGATGTTTAACGACTCAGCGTCCATTGTGCGAGTATAACATACAAGTGTATCTATATTTATGGCTATGCCATCCGACTTACGTTGGATAGAACTTTCGGTGTAGATCACGCACTTAATGGTATGTTTTCTCGACCAACTGGTCTACAAAACTAATTCAGGATTATGAACTATTCCGGATGTTAATTTGGCATTAAAAGCCTTTTATATCATTTATGGGAGCAGTATTTTTACTAGGTTTCTGTAAGACAAAAGTCAATCTACACTATACAGCGATCAGTTAGGCTCTGTGTCCATTTTGTTTGAGAGTTATCTCTCTTGGAATAGTAACTCGTGTCATACACAATAAGAGTAACACACAGGCTAAATGAAAATAAATCACATTGCCGTATGGGTTTAATAGAACACAGCGGATTTACCCTACACAACACATGTATACATGTATATATTTGTAAACTGCATTACATTTACAATACATATAAAGTACTGAGAAGTGTATAAACCTCTTTTTTCTATGTATGTCACTTGTGTAAAAAACCATGGTTACCACATCAAAAATTACCAAAAAATGCCAAATATTGCTATTTTTGACCCAAAATTTGACCCCCGCAACCAGTAAAAAAAAATCTAAGTTCTGTCTGAAATTAAAGATTACCTACCTGGTTGCAGAATTATCTGGGTCCCAGTAAAGTTGTAAAACTTGATTTTTTGCAATTTTGCGTCGTGTGCTGTTGTCAAAATTTTACCTCCTGTAAATTTTATTCTCGAATCAAAAAACCTTCTTTTTTTTTACAAATGTGAAGCTCACATAGCCCACTTCATCATGCTAATACCAATTTTAGTACAGTTTTATTCTTATATATTTTTTACATATCATTATACAGGGGTTAGCCATTTAACAAAAATATCACCCATGGCCACAACCCTCTACTGTATACTGCTACCTTAGTGGCTTCACCTGCGTACCAGCGTATAGGCAGTTATACGCATGTCGATGAATGCCACACAGGATTCCTTGATAGTTTGTGCATTATTATAAGAATACCTGAGATATTGTTTCTAAGCTAACGTCTAAAATATCTTAGTTTACATAAACAAAACAAAACGAATCAAATATTCAGTATTTTCAAGGTTACACGATAAACACAATGTGTATTTTCTATCCATGCTATGGTAACGCCCACTTTCAATGTTTAATTTGTGAGCCGGTGTAACATGAAAAAGTGACTCGCGTAGAAAACCTACCCGGGGTTTATTTTTCTAAGATAGAAATCTTACCCGAGGTAATTTCTCTACGTAGAAATCCTACCCGGGCAGCCGTAGAAAACATACCCCCTTACAATTATTTTTTCTTCTTCCTGTGAAAAAGTGACCCCGCAGAAAAGTGACCCGGATATTAGGAAATGAAACACCAACTTTTATGCACGAACATATACCAATGATAATGCTTGCTCTCCTCTACTAGAGCATATTATCCGCCCGGCCTTCCGGTCAAAGGTCAAGGTCGAAATTACCATCAAATAGAAGTTTACCGCAAAATCTTGTCATCGCTGCTCTAGCAGCTGCATATATATATTTATAGATATCGATGATATTTCTTCGGTACAAGTTTGAATAAGACTGGTGTAGGTCAACAGTCGAGGTCAGCGATATCGATACTACAGAAGAAAGCTCAAAGGATAGTGTTGGTATCATGTATGTAACTGTATGTTTCAATGTTTCCATAAAATTTACAGGGATTATTATTTTGTTTGTCTTGTATAAATGTATATAACTCGGACATGATAAAGTATTCATGCTAACAGAAGCAGATCAGTAAATGGGACACATTTTTCCATGCACGTGTATCACATGAAAAGAAGTGTTAAATAACTTTAATTTTACGAATATTCACGATGACTTTAGGAGCTTTGAAACGACTAACATGCTAAAATGTCGAGTTATGAAAACTCAAACTTAGAAACAACACGAACGATTTTTGATTTCAACAATATTAGTTATTTAGTACGTTCTGACAAGAAGAGTTTCTCACAGGCCTTTATTGGTACAGAGCAAGTATCGGCGAGAAAAGAACAGTTAAACATGTTTAAGCCGAAAAACAAAATGTAAGGAAAATAGCACTGCGTGTGTAATAGCGCGAACCAGGCAATTTGAATGTCATTCATGTTTCCTGGGTCATGAAAACACTATCACCTTAAATACTGACGTGGTAAAACATCCTTCAACGCGTTCATGAAACAACATTTCAACCGGTTAATCACCATGTTACAATAACGTTATCACATTGATGTGTTAAGTCATTGTATAACACAGTACAAGGGAAATATTATTTTACCACGTCAGCTTTTAGCATGATTGACATCTAATTTTTCGTTGTCAGCATGGGCATACCAAATATTTTACTTTGTCATTTTTAAAGTGATCTAGTGTACATTTAACGGAAATAAATTAAACGCGAGTTCTTTAAATGCGTGTAAGGGATGATGATAAATAAGTGGCATTGATATGAACAAATTATCTTGTGTAATACGACAATTTACGACTATCCATATATGAATAGTGAATTTTAAATTTTCTGATAATATAAACTATGTGATAAAACATCTTAACACTTGTGTCAACATACAGGGAAATGTTTTCAACTCGTTCAATGATGCAAGTATTGAACCCGTTTGATACATTCAGTAGTACATTGAAAGTATTACAAGATCATCTTTTTATAGAACTAGTTAAATAGTTGTGTATGCCTCTTGCCTCTGGGCAAGTGACATATCAAATTATGTAAGGTTTCATAATATCTTAAAAGTTACATTGTCAAACGTCTAAGATTCTATTAAACATATTTCTCTTGTCTGTGAAAAGATAAACAGTGTCCTGAAGGGCTAGAAGATTTCACTGAAAACCGTTCACGGATGTTCGATGTTGAGACCATGGAATGATGACGTCATTGAATATGTCATTACACTAGTGTTAGAGAAAGTGTAAAATATGACTTTTACTACAACCTATCATATAAGCAAACATGCGGGTTACATATGTACGTTATAACCAACGTTTTCATACGTTAGCATTTAACGATATAGTTTATCGTACTTCTGACATGAACGACCGGATTTCTTAATTGTATCTAAGCTGGTGAAGAAGAGATTCACCAAAATCTTCATGTATTCAAAGTACGTTGAACACGTTCGGGTAAAAATGTTTAAAAATGAATCATCCGCGATTGTCGTATGGGACATCCGTAAAGCTTAATACAAATATGTTGTGATCGAAGTCTTTGGACATCGGGATATGATCGTCATCGTGTGTTTTGACCAATGCCGCTTTCAAGGATTCTGAAGACATTAGGGACCAGTTGATCTTTGGGTTCTTGAATCCCACATACGGTTCTCCTGAATACAAAGTGTTCAACACTTAAAGGACAGGCTCATAGTGGGCACATACATTTCGCATGTAAATGCTCCTTTGGGAAACATTTCCGCTTTGGAGGCAAGGTTTAAATTCTATCTACTTGAAATGAGGCTTTCCGTATCGATCACCATATTGACAATGCACGTAAATAATAGTTTCAAGGTTGTCATTCATTGCTTGTATTTCTACATCTGTTCCCCATGTCACTACTTCTTGCATTCTAAAGTGATTCAAAATTTCATGTACCGGACGATTTTCGACATTTTCCATGGTTTCCTTTAACTGATTAATAACATAGTCTCTGATCAGGACATGGTTCGTTTGAACACCGAAGATAATGTAACTGAATGCCTAGAATATGCAATTTCGAT